AACGAGAGCGTGAGTACCAGGAAGAAGAGCTCCAGCGCAACAGGGGCCAGATCCTTGCAGACCTCCGTGTACAAGCCAGCCAGGTTGAATTTCAGGGGCGTCAGGAGCGTGATGCTGTGAGGGTACGGGTAACCCGCGCAGGAGTCTGTTACCGCCTGGAATATTGTCCTCGGCTCAGGCATCACCGGGACAATCAGGTACGTCACATGTCGCCGACATTCAAGCGTTGGGAGTTATGAATGACGAAACGCTAAGGACGCTGTCAGACAGCATAGTCCGAAACAATAAGCTAGGAGGAGCCTTAGAGAATAAGTTGAAGGAGCTGGAAAAAGAGATGAATGACTTCATGGAAGAACAAGCTAAAAAGAAGGCTTGGATCCAGCGGCGCCTTAGCGAGCTCAACGCATAGCAAGACACCCTCCGTAAGTCGGAGAAGACGCATGCTTTGATAGAGAAGTTTGTTGAGCTTAAAATAAAGGGTTTTCAAGAGGCCCAAAACTCTGCTGTCGGGAAAAAACTTAGATGGATGCCCGACATGGTATTCAATGCTGCGAGCATTGATGAGCTCAACCGGCCGAGTATCTTTGAAAGTGTTTTTACCTCCTCCCTAGAGATGATCCACAGCGGCACGCGCGACAGTGGAGGAAAAAGTAAAGGATGGACTTCTTGAAGTTGGAAGCAAGAAGCGGCCGATTATGATCGCGGACGATCAAGAGAGCCCAAAGATTGGGTCAAAGAGAAAGGCGGAGAGCGAAGAGCCGGCAGAAACGATGCCACCTCCAAAGATGTTGCCCAAGAGCAAGAAAGCACCGTTCCCTCCAGGACAAGAACAAGAAGGTGCAAAGACAGTGGAGGTTAAGGCAAAGCCGAAAAAGCAAGCAGAGATGGTGTTGCCGGAAAGAAGCAAGCCGGAAAGAAGCGAGCAGGTAGAGAGAAGCAAGCCGGAAGACTCGGACACTATGCCGAACGGCGTTGAGGTTGAGTTAAACCAAGCTCAATGGTCAATGATGAGCAAAGAAGCTAGAAGCAGGATTTTGGTTGAAAAACCATCTTGGAAAGAAGACTGCTTCTACCGCGGGTCCCGAGGACACCGTGCTTTTTATTGCAAGAGTATGCTGCAGTTGGGAACAAAGTTGACGAAGATCTTACAGCAGCATGAGCACGGTGGCTCAGATCAACATGGCCGCAAAGAATCGATATTCTGCTCATCGTGCTGGTGGAGAGTTACCACTTCTGCCATCGCAAGTGGTGCGAATGTCCGCAAAGCAAGCTGATGGTGGTCGCACTCAAGGAACACGTGCAACCACAAGACAAGTTGCCCTTTGGCGCAAGATTCAGATTTGCTTCGAACACACGAAGATGAGTTGCGTCGCCGCTTGGCAGAAAATGGCCTTGAGATTGGCCAAGAGAAGAAAGAAAAAGACAAGGAGCCCCGATCAAGATCGATCAGCGTTGCAAGCGAAGGCAACGCAGGTCAGCCAGAAAAGAAGCGCAAGAGAAAGGAAGAGGAGAAAAAGAAAAGAGAAGAGGAGGAAAAGAAAAGATTGGAAATGGAAGCGAAGAAAAAGGAAGATGAGGATCGGAAGCAGAAAGAGAAAGAAGAGGAAGCTCGAAAGAGGAAAGAAGCCGAGGAGTTCAAAGAAAACCTTAGGGCAAGTTCAGAACAAATCTTACACGGCTATTTGTTCGACAGCAGCTATCGCTGCAATCCATCCAAGATGGAACAGCAAGCAAATTATGAACGAAAACTTCCATATGAAGTGTTAGTCAGAACACCAAATTATGTTAGCCGCCTTGAGGAGT